GTTTGCAAAAAAAAAAGATATCGGAAAGTAACCGGGAAGAAAATCTGAAATCTTTTTCTCAAATGCTATGTTGCATTCTCTTACTACCTACAATAAAGTCAATGTGATGTCAAAATATCTTTTTCACTGCTGTATATAGGTCTACCCATAGATAACCTCATAAGGGGGATTTTTGACATAGTTCGTACGCTTAGCAGATGGTTTTTTTTAAATACTAGTAATCTTATATTAATTAACTTTACGAATATTCCTTTTTACCACTCCTGGTTAAAATACTTGTGTTAGGAGTAGTTCACGACATTAGTCGAATGGCGGACCTTTCGAGTTTGCGGTCCGCGCCCTGATATCAGGCTACTGTCATTTGCAACCGCAGTCTTTCATTTTCTAATTGTTTTTAGAAAGGTCATCTTCTGGTGTGTTTCCAACAATCAAATTCTATAGTTTTTGTGATTTATTTGTAAAATTTTATGCATCTACTCAGTTTTAACTAATCTCTATTTGAGAATATCTTTTTTTTAAATTTATTTTCTTCCAATTATACAATAAACATTTATAACATTTTCATCTGCCAAACTGCATTACAGTTTGTCGGCAGTAGTTCTCGTCTTACATGCTTATGTTCATCTATATATATATATATATATAAAATCTGAAGTATAATTTCTTATACATATACTAATATCTCCCAACATCTGTTTTATTATTTTATTTATACATATTTAATACAAAGTTTGTTATGAGGTCCACATCAGCCAAATATCAAAATTGGTTCATTATTTTTTGATTTTTTTTATATAAATACTATATATATACATATACACTAATTCAACACATACTCATACAGCACACATCGCATATAGACTGCTAATTTTAACAGTACGTTACTCGTGGCCTGTGGCGTACCTTTATGGACACAATGATAGATAATGTTTTCTTAGAATATTTTTTTAATGATTTTTTGAGATAACTTTATTTAGCAAGTCCAGCGGCAGCTCGTTATGTAATTGCGGGATAACCCATCGTCTTGTGCGCTTACCGAAGTAATTTTTAATTTTAGGTACTACATGCTTTCCTTTTCTAGTGGATTGACGAGTTGGGTAGCCATATTCTCTTTTTACTTTAAACTCATTTTTATTATATTGTTCCATTATTAACTTTATTTTCACTTTTTTGTCTACAGGTACAATTTTACAAACTTTGAAAAGTTTATCATATTCTTTATTACACGCAATTTTCATTTTATTATCTATTAGTATCTTTAACAACCTTGTTTGTAGTTCTTTGATTATATTTCAATACACTGGGAACGTAAGTCCATAGCTGCCCAACCCGTAATCTATAGTTGTATCCGCGTATCACCTCGACCTTTACAGGAAAAGTATGTTTTTCATTAAATTAATTTATGTTTTCCGTACAGTATGCATAATGCTCTCCAAAATAAAATAACAACGGAAGTACGTAACAGGTGGAAGAGCCACACTGCAGCTATATTAAGGTTGTAGCATGAATGGGTCGGCTCAACCGAGGAGGACCCCGCTCTCATAGAATACCAGCGTAAAGTAGCAGCTTAACGCTGCTGTGTTTTGAATGGTGAGTGTAGAGAACCGGAGACCTTTTTACTGGAAACGAGGCATTTCATATTAGTCCTCAGGGATAACAAAGCATCTGCATTTTAATTCTTAATCGAGTATAAATTACATATGTATGGGCCACAGTATCCACTTACCATCAGGTGGACTGTGTGCTCGTTTATTACACTAATTCTATACATAGAAAAAAAGAAGAAAGTGCCAAAATATTAGTCTCCTTGAAAAATTCACATAGCGTCCTGCAGTCCCTTATAGATCGCTTGCATTTGTAAAATGAATATTGTTTCCGGTGCAGCTACAGATCTCCACAGTAAACGTTACAAATTACACAAATTTATTTGATGCTTCATCAGCCATTTTTCTAAAACCTTTAATAATGAAGAATTCAAAAGTTAACTTAGAAGTTACTTTATTAGTATGTGCTCCCCATTTGAGTTTTGAATCAAGATAATTCTGAGAAATACGATCGTACTTTCGATATCTACATCATTATTTTTTTATTAATAACAGCATTCTGCAGTGATTTAGACAGTTTAAACTTTAAACAATTAATTTATTACGTGTTTGAATTGTTACTTGTTGCAAAACGTTTGAAAACAATATCCACTATTTGTTTGGGTTGGGTTATTTTTGTGTTAAGGCGTTTCTTTTAATTTTAAATAAAATTGGGGTAATATCAGCAAACCAATCTATATTAGACATTTCTGTATCATACGTATATATCATTATAAGGCATCATTATAGGATCATTATAAGGCAGACTCTATCGTTTCCTGAAGGACATCTAATTTTATAACTACACCGTCAATTGCAAACTTTTCACGTATTGAGAGATATGCTGATAAGAGATTAATCACTAACGCCCAAATATTTAGGTTTATTTTTCATTTCATATTGACTAAAACATATACTAAAATGGAAGTTCAGTAATATTTTCAGTATTACAGAAAATAATTCAAGTTCGTCGCGGTTCCTGCAAATGAACGAAAAGTTCAATTTTTTTTATTATTAATAATTTTCAATCTAATATTATGTAGTATCCAACTTAACATAATATTAGGTTAGCCTTACATATGAAATTAGCTTTTTGTCATACTGACCACTTTGATCTAAAATATCTTCTCTTTGGTTAAGAATTCCAAATTCAAATTTATAAATTCATTTAGCTGTTACATTTGAGTTGAAAACAGTCATTCATTTGTTTTTTCCTCTTTTTTTTCTTTGACGTCGCTTATTACCGCACAATAGAAATCATTAAATATCGGTATATTTACGAGTACGAGTTCTACCGTGGCACCAGTGCTGCAGAAACAGCTCGAAGGATCAATGATGTGTACGGCGCTGGTGTCGCAAAAGAAAGCACGGTACGTTTTTAGTTTCAACGTTTTCGTTCTGAAAATTTCGACCTTCAGAACCAACCCCGCGGACGGCTGGAGCCAAAGTGGAAAATGAAGAATTAAAGGCTATTGTGAAAGCGGATCCATCACAAAGCACTTCAGAGATAGCTGCAGGCTTCGGGGCAAGTGATAAAACTGTATTAATCCACTTGAAGCATATCGGGAAAGTAAAAGAACTTGAACGATGGGTACCTCATGAATTGAGTGAATCGAACTTGCAAACACGAGTCGACTGCTGTGTTACTTTGCTCAACCGACACAATAATGAAAGGATTTCAAATCGAATCATTACTTGTTATGAAAAGTGGATACTGTATGATAATCGGAAGCTCTCGTCGCAACGGCTGAACCCTGGAGACCCAGCCAAGTCCTGCCCTAAACGAAAATTGACTCAGAAAAAGTTACTTGTGAGTGTTTGGTGGACTAGCGCCGGTGTCGTTCACTACAGCTTTCTAAAATCTGGTCAAACCATTACGGCAGATATCTATTGTTAGCAACTGCAAACCATGAAGGAAGAACTAGCTGGTAAACAACCGAGATTGATCAATCGCTCTAGGCCACTGCTACTTCACGACAACGCAAGACCACTGCTCAACAAACAACCACTAAGTTAGGTGAGCTACAATTGGAATTTCTGCGACATCCACCGTACTCCCCGGACCTTGGTCCAGCAGATTACTATTTTTTCCGGAATTCGGACAACTTCTTATAAGAAAAAAAATTCAACTCCGAAGCGGCAGTCCAAACCGCTTTCAAAGAGTTTATTGATTCACGCCCCCATGGTTTTTAGTAAAGGGATCAATGAACTACCTATGAGATGACAAATGTGCATAGATAACAACGGTGCATACTTTGATTAATTAAATATATTTTACAAAAAAAAATGATTTTATATTCCTCTCGTACAAAACGCCAATTTCATATGTAAGGACTTAATATTATCAGTCAAGAAAACATTTTGTTGAATAATACAAAAAAAAAATGGGTTGCCAAAAAACTGCGATTGCCCACCCGCTTGCCAAGCGTGGCAACTATGGAAAATAACCCCCCTATGATACAGTATATGGGGGGGCCTATATTCAGCAGTGGATTTAAATAGGCTGTAACGGCAACGGTATGAGTTTTCTCTTTAGTTGAAATTGATAGCTTTTTGCAATCACTTTTTTGAAGAGCATTTTCATAGCTTTCTTAAACTTTCTCATTCCATTAATGATGTTACAACTTATTAAAGTATACCTTAGCTTGCTTATATTTAAGTGTATATATACAGCTTGGTTATGTATACTGTAATTGCTACAATGAAAATATATTTTATAGTGTAAATACAGGGTTATTTTTCAAAGGGTAACCAAATTTTGAACTCAAAGTCAAATATATAAATAAAAATATATCGTATTTGCAGTTTTTGAAAATAGAAGTAAATAAGGCTTCAAATTTTATTTAAAATTATCCTAAATTGAATGTGATTTATGGACAACAACGTTTTTGCCTACCGATCGACCCTTACAAATGTGTGTGTGCGCAGTAAAATTAGTTAAAATGATGCATTACCACGCATTCTCAATTTAAAATATAAAAAGGACAGAATGATTGAGATTTTTTTAATTAATTTTTCTTTACAATTTGCCTACATTACTTATTTAAAACCTTCTCTGCAAATTTGGCCGGTTATTGCAAAGTAACCCTGTATAATATATTAGTGTTAAAAAGTTTTCTTCATTACGTTTAAGTGAATAAAATATAATATTGGAACTAAATCAATTTGAAATCAAAACGATACAATATAAATCAATGCAAGTGAGGAGCATATATGACCGGATCACACCCCACTGCGTGTTCAGTGAAGCGTTCCCATATAAAACTGTATTACTAGATGCACTTCTGCATTTGCTTTATACTCCGTAAAGTGTAGCAGTTGTCAACCTGCGTCGGTGTATCAAACTATATAATCAATAAATTACAGTGATAGCACTTTAGTGCTAGTGAAGTGAAGACAGAATTTATTGTCGATAAAATGAAGAGCGTGTTCTTATTATCGATTTTACTATTCGGAATCGTAAGGTCGAGAGATATCGACAATGAGGTGAGTTTGATATTACTAGTATCTAGGAATATTATAGTAAGTGCGATGTTATTTTGTTATGTTACAATTGTAAACAATATTACTAAGCGAAGTTTAATTAATTTCTGAAAATATATAATAATATTTTTTACAGTTCATTATACATGTCAAACAGAGTCTAAAATACCTTTAATAATAAATAAAACTACTTTTACGGAATCTATCGCGTTTAATTAACTTATTTTTCTTATTAATTACTGACGTTTCGGGTGACGGGGGGCTGGGGTGATTGACGTCTCGATGTCAGAGTTAACCCGGAGTACCTTCTGCTTTTTTAATTATTAATTTTGGTCCGATCTACGCGGAATGAATTTACTGTGTCTTGAAGTCTTGCAGTGGTATGCTTGGGTTTAGTTTTATTTTATTAATTACATTATCACAAGCAGGTGGTAATACCCAGCCTCTCTCGCTATTGAAATTAGGATGTTTTTTTTTAATTTCAATAGCCTTACGGTTAATTATCTGTGTAATGTGTCTGAAAATTCAGTTAATGTCATATTATTATTATTATTTTCATCTTCAATATGGCTCTTGGTTTTGTGGTAAGGTTACAATAATTCTGCCAATGTGCCGTATTTAGTCTGATACATATTACCTTGAGGCATTTCGGTGGGAAAGTAGTTGACGATTATTAGGTGACAATGTGGATAAAAACAAAACACAATAATGTACAGGAGTTATGGACAACACGATATTGAAGAAAGATCTAGTTATAGGAGAGTAAACGTGGTAGAGCCATGCTGCAGCTATATTATAATTTCCTCCAAACTGAATTTCGGTCACGGCTGCCATTACGTATTTTTCGAGGCACGGGCTTGCAACACGACCAACTGTCTGACTTCAGGTTAATGGGAACTTCTTGCCAGAAAAACCAAATAATATATTTTGAGAAGACCCGGGGTTCGAACCCGGGACCTCATGAACAGCAATCGGATTTACAACGACTAGACCAACGAGGCAGTCAGCTATATTATGGTTGTAGCACGAATGGGTCGGCTCGACCGGGGAAGGACAACGCTCTCACAGAATACCAGCGTGGAATGGCGGCTTGACACTGCTGTGTTTCGTATGGTAAGTGTATAGAACCGGACACCCTTTTTACTGGAAATGAGGCATTCCATCTTAATCCTTACGGGTGAAAACGCATCTGCATTCTGATTCTTTATTGAGGATAGATATAGATGTCTATGGGTCGCAACAACCACTTACCATCAGGTGGACTGTGTGCTCGTTTCTCATCATTATTCAATAAAAAATATTCATAACGAGATAACAAACTATATTTTAAAAGAAAAGAAAAGGAAATCATTGAACTCGGTGAAACACATACATAACAATATTAAGTTAACTTTTATTTTGCTACAACTGTATACTTAAAATTCACGTAAACCTCAACTTGGAGACCTAACTCCAGAGGGAAGGGACTACAAGGACCCTATAGCCCCTTACCCTCGCTACCGAGGTGTAAGCTAGTAAGTTTTTTTACGTGGCAGAGCCATGCTGCAGCTATATTATTGTTGTAACACAAATGGGTCGGTTCGACCGGGGTGGGATCACGCTCTCACAGAATACCAGCGTAAAATAGCAGCTTAATGCTGCTGTGTTTCGTATGGTGAGTGTAGAGAACCGGAAACGAGGCACTCCATCTTAGTCTTCAGGGGTGACAACGCGCCTGCATTTTGATTCTTAATCGAGTATAAATGTAGATGTCTATGGGCCACGGCATCCACTTAACATCAGGTGGACTCGTGTCACTCGTGGACAGGAGGTGTGCTCGTTTGTCACTCTTATTCTATTAAAAAATTCGATGGCCGCCACACCATCTAAGCGGCCAGACTTAACCAGCCGTCCCGCGCTCCACGGCCCAGACTACTAGGCCGAGCTGCTGCCAGCGAAGACAATGTAATCAGGGATTGTACCCACTTCCAATACCAATCGATACTTATTGTAATTCATTCTACAATTCTGTTACGCCTAATCTAATTCATTTTCTACCTATCAAACTTAACCACGTCACAGAGGCATATAAAAGATAGATATAAAAGCCATTAAAATTATTAGTTATTTTTTTAAGTTATAATTTAACTATTAAATCAATCTAACCATTATCGCCATATTTAAACGAGTTCAGTATAAGATGAGCGAATGTGTTGCGTGGCGGGGCAACATAACGACTTTATTTCTTAATGATTTTCTTTATATTTACGCAAAGACTACACGTTAATTGAAACTAATTTTTACGGATTTTATCGCGTTTAATTTAACTTTTTAATTCCTGACGTTTCGACTTTATTTCTTGTTAAAACTTGATTTCGCTCCCTACCCAATTTGTGTACCGCGAGCTATATAAGAAAATTGATTCGGAAGGAGTGACCTTTCTAAAAGAAAAAGCCGACAGCAAAGAACTCTAAACAAGGTTAATCGTTAAAACAGTAATTAAAAAACCCAACTTCGTAAAAGAGTTTTAAAAAAATTAACAATTACGTTCCACGTTAATAAGATCTATTATATGATTAACTATATATGAAATTTATCACAGCTTTATTATAAAGTGAGAATGATTGCTAAAAAACTTTAAATCGTTATAGATCTTAAGTGATAATTCAAAATGAAAAAATGATTATAGAAACCTAAAGATGCTTTACAAATACCTATTCAATGATACCCCACACGACATAGTTCGTTGAGATTCTTTTTATTTTTTCACAATATGGCGTCTGGTTGTCGCCTTATTGAATTTTGTGTACACCATGTCTTCAATGATACTCACAAGATTAACACAAATCGATTTACAGAAGAATCATCAAACTCGGCTCACGCGTTTAGTATAATATGTATATAGGCTGATAAACACATTACCCACTTTTGCGTCACACAGTCTGATAAAAGAAAAATAACTTCAAATTATGAAGTCGATAAAAAACAAAGTAGTGAATAAAAGAAATAAAGCCCTCACTCCAGTATGCGAAGTTATTTATTCGGCTTTTACTTTAAAAGTTATTTTTTAACCTTTTCTAGTGGTCTAAGGAATATCACAATCTCAATGTCAAACTCGATTCAAAATTAATAATTAAAAATTAAAAATGTTGTGCAACCGACTTCAACATAAATTATTAAGAATAACTCAAAAGTATTAGTCAGACCTTGATTAATATGGGACCACGTCGGAAGCGCCAGCTTTCAAATAAAAAAAGAATCATCAAAATCGGTTCACCCAGTAAGAAGTTATGAGGTAACACACATATACAGTCGAATTGTGTACCGGCTCCTTTTTGAAGTCGGTAGAAAAGATATCTTTTTTAATATAGTAAAAAAAAACATACTGTCGAATTCTCAATTCGTTCTTTTTTTGAAATCGCCGAAAAACAGATCCATTATGTACCCTAAAATAGTTATAATTTTATTGCCTATAATTTTTTTGGTTTGAATTCATACTCAGGTTATCAGCATCAATAAAAACTCAGAGATGACTACATATTAGTATGTCATTTGCTGTAGACTATCGGTTTATGGGTTCCACGCGCAGTGAAGTTCCTATAGGAACTGTATCTACGACTGGTCGTCACTGCTGTGATAAGATGGCTGGTTCATTTCTCGCTCAAAGGCTAAGTATAGCCATTCAGCGAGGTAACGCAGCTAGCATTCTTAACTCGATACCACGGAAGTAGGACTGTATAATAATAATTTAAGTTTTAGTTTTTCTTTATTATAGTTTTTTTTAATATTGTATACAAGCGATTGGCTTCGCAGGGTGATTAAACAGTGGCACCTACCGGTTCCAATTGTGAATCTAAACCATTCAGAGACTCATTCAAACGCACACAGAATATTTAATCGAAATCACTCGAGCCGTTTTCAAGTTTTAGCGACATTTCATTAGATGTTAATAAATTAAAATTAAATTTCACAAATTCTTAGACGGACTGAATATATACGTCAAACTTATACGGACTACTGATTCGCACTTACACGCATTCCTTACCGCAAGGAATCGTTGAGTCGTTGATATTTACTGCTACTTACGAGAACGACTGAATAATGGCAGCGTGACGGCATGACGGCGATATTGTATCTACGCACGTTTATTTTCTCTCTGTATTCTGTGACAACGATTGCGTTAGTGATGATCTTGTTAAAGTTATATAAATACATATTCTAGAAACAGAAACATAAACACAAACTTTTTATTTAACATATATTATCCTTTACTGTCAATGCTGTACGTTTGTGAAACTCTTTACCTCTCCACATTCGTCGTGCCTAATCTCTTTATTCCTTCAAAAGTCTTGTTATATCGTATTGCTTAGAATACTATTAGGTAATTTACTTTTCCCTTTTCCTACTCTTTTCATCTACTCTATGATATCGTATTATATATAATTTTCACTTATCTTAATTTACATGTAGTATCATATTCTTTTTTCGTACTTTATTTTGACTATTGTTTGCATCAATTTTCTACACAAAATTTTTTCTTTTTTTATAGGATATGTTGACAAACGAGCACACAGTCCACCTGATGGTAATTAGTTGGCTGTGGCCCATAGACATCTACATCTACCCTCGTTTGCTAATCAAAATGCAGATGCGCTGTCACCCGTGAGGACTAAGATGGAATGCCTCTCTTCCAGTAAAAAGGGTCTCCGGTTCTCTACACTCACCATACGAAACGGAGCAGATTGAAGCTGCTATTTTACGCTGGTATTCTATGAGAGCATAGTCCTTCCCCGGTCGAGCCGACCCATTCGTGCTACAACTATACTACTAATATAGCTGCAGCATGGCTCTACCACGTAAAAAAGGTTGTCTGGAAGAGATCACTTTCAGAGTGATAAGACCGCCTATTGTAAATATTACGTTATATGTATTATATATCTTTGTGTACAATAAAGAATAAATAAATAAATAAAATTATAAATAATACATATTATATCTCTTTTGTTTAATTTACCACTGGTTCG